ATTGGGCCTGTAGCATGCTGGGATGAAGGATTACCATGTTAGTTCAAATGAATGACCTTGATCCACTTTCAACCTAATGTCCTTGTTCGACAATCAAGGTCAGAGGCGTCATATGTTTAAATCTTTTAATAGGTTCTTATGAAATCTTAAGATTACAAGTGTTAGATTAATAACAGGTGAGCGATGCAGGCCCATTGGGCCTCTTGTTTGAGAGATAATTGTATGTTATGTGTCATTACAGTAGAATTATACTCCCTTTCCTGCCCCTGCAGATGTCCATATATATTCAAGCTCCTGTTAACCTGGCTTTAATTACCCTAATCATTGCACTTGACATAATAATGTAGTAGTATACATGTACATGTGTATGTATACACCATCATATGACCATGACCATGGGGTCAAGTGGTCACTGTAAAACTAGAGTCCAGCTTTCATAATTGCCATGACTGTGACACAGGTGATGGCCTGAGGCTCATTGACCAAATAATGTGTCAACACACTTCTAAAGTTTTCTTGGGTTAAGAAATTTTAGGGAAAAGAAAAAAATGTTGCTACTAGGTAAGCACTCAATGGGGTTGTCACTCGAAAAAAATTTAACAAATTTTGATTTTCAATTGGGTAACTGCCCTATCCAGATACCATCACCACGTGCACTCTTGTTTCTCTGATAATGACCTTGTCTCTTCTTGTGTTAATCTCTTGATTGAAACCCATATTATTATTTATGAAACACAATTGAGCTGCGGACCACCTCATTGCGAATCTTGGCTCTTTATCTGTTTTTGAATACCACGCCTTCTCCTTTTGGTGATGCATCCCTATAGGCACCTAGCTGTATTCATATATACAGTTTATGATCAGAAATGTTGCGAATACATCGTAAACTATTGCTAAACACCAAACAAAAGAAAAACCAAGACTGTATATTCTTGTAAAGAGGGGACATGCTGATATTATACAAATGTATACCAGATACTATGCATTAGGTCCGCCTACAATTTGTATATTGATCTAGATGAAAGCCTTGTTTTCAAAATAAAAACGCATTTAATGTCCAATTATATAAAAAGGATCATACATGAAGGCTTAACTTTCCCTTATACAAATAACTACATGTATGTTTTATAGGATGTTAATTATATAAATAATACTAAACTAAACCAAACCAATCGCCCATTGTCAGTATAATGTGACCGGACGTGGTGTCCTGCTGGATGTCTTCAGCAGTATGTTTCAGTGAGGTAGCACTATAAAATCGGCATCAGTTCTACGCTTTCACAAGGAGACAAATACGAACATATCGCAGCCTCCCAAAACACATACGCATTTACACTACACGCATGCATCTTGCACGCAGGGGAGGCCGTCCTTAAATGACCATAGCTGTTGACATTAAACAATACTAAATCAAACCAAACCAAACTACATGTACAAATGTATGTAAACTGTATTATAGCTAATAGAATTTTGTAACTACATGTATTTCTATTGAAAAATAATATCTTTGTTGCTAATAGTAAGAATATTCTCTCTCAGTTGTGACATGAACACTAGATCTAGAGTGCACCTGTACATGTATTGCTCAGTTATTCAATGCTAAGTTTGAAAATATTGATATTGTGTTTGTAGACTGAGACGTCTGTGGAGCAGCAGATGAAGACGCTGATGTGCTATTGTGCCCCTGAATGTGGGTCTGATAGAAGGTATAGATACTCTTAAAACCTGGATCTGTTGATAGAAATTGTTATTTCAGTTAGGAAATTATTTACTGTTGAGGAACTAAATTAATGATGACTATGATATTTTGTTTACTTTGATATCAGAAGAAGTGACATTGCTATCAATTCAATAAATCCTAAAATCAAGCAAATTTGGGGTGTTTGGAATGCTTGTCTATGACAGGACTTATATTATGATGTCTCGCATTCTGCGAATCTGATTGTGACATCACGATTCATTATTTCCCTGAAATCATTGTCATTGTCTCTTTTTGCCTGCAATCTGTACATGTACATGTCATTCCCTAGGGGTAGGGGATGACAGAAATCATACCCTAGGGGAAGGGAGTGGATGACAGAAATCATACCCTAGGGGATGATCATGAGAGAGATGTTGAATTGGTAAAATGAGACAATTTAGTGACAGGTGGGAGAAAATAACAATCTTAAGTTTAAGACACAGACTTATACAGGTACCATGAATTGGAATCAGTTCGTATAAAATGCAGGTATATAATCAATAATAAAATTCACTGTAAGTTATCGTTATATTTCCTATTTTAACACGATTCGTTTGCAACGCATGTTTTGATTGGATACGGACCATGTTCTAATCTGCGATAGAATTATGATCAATCGTGTTAAGCTCCTCCCATTGCACTTAAACCACGCCCCGTTTCTAACCAAAACAATATGGCATCAAGCTTGCCTCTAAGCGAAATCCCGCTGGAAAGGCTAGCAGGCAACCGAACAGAAATGACCGATGAAATGTATTTGTTGAATGAATTAAAAAGTAAAAAGTAAACATTCCTTGTTCTTACCTTTATTTATTAGTGAAACGTTCATTCCATCTGTGTGAAGGCATCTAGTTTGATCCGAAATCAAATGAAACATTTCACATGTGTCATATGAATTTACACAAAACTCTTCAACAAATCTACACAAATAATCACCGATTTGTGTCGATAAGCACAGATTGGTATGCATACTGACATGGAAATGTATGAATTTGGTCAATATTAATCCAAATGTGTCGTATAATTTTTGGTAACAGGATGTTCACGAACAATCCAAATATTCCGCCTCATCAACATACAGATTGAGCGCTTGCCTGTATGGGCTGGGCCAAATGACCAACTTTTGAAAGCCTCCCTCCGATTGGTCAGTCCGCTGCAGAATGATACATTGTCAGTTCAGGTCACAAAGTACTTTACTAGGTACCTTTTGTACAAGGAAATACAATGTTTCTTAACATATTAGCGTAGTATATTTTTAGCCCACCATCATCTGATGGTGGGCTATTCAAATCCCCCTGCGTCCGTGGTCCGCCGTCCGTGGTCCGTCCTTAAACAGTTCTTGTTATCGCTATTTCTCAAGAAGTACTAGAGGGATCTTTCTCAAATTTTATGTGTAGGTTCCCCTTGGTACTTAACTGTGCAGGGCAACTTTTGAGACTGATTGGATAAACAACATGGCCGACAGGCAGCCATCTTGGATTTTGATAGTGAAAGTTTGTTATCGCTATTTCTCAGGAAGTACCAGAGGGATCTTTCTCAAATGTTACGTGTAGGTTCTCCTTGGTTATTATCTGTGCAGGGCAACTTTTGAGACTGATCGGATAAACAACATGGCCGACAGGCAGCCATCTTGGATTTTGATAGTGAAAGTTTGTTATCGCTATTTCTCAAGAAGTACGGGAGGGAACTTTCTCAAATTTTAGGTGTAGGTTCCCCTTGGTCCTTAGCTGTGCAGGGCAACTTTTGAGACTGATCGGATAAACAACATGGCCAACAGACAGCCATCTTGGATTTTGATAGTGAGAGTTTGTTATCGCTATTTCTAAAGAAGTACCAGAGGGATCTTTCTCAAATTTTATGTGTAGGTTCCCCTTGGTCCTGAGCTGTGCAGGGCAACTTTTGAGACTGATCGGATAAACAACATGGCCGACAGGCAGCCATCTTGGATTTTGATAGTGAAAGTTTGTTATCGCTATTTCTCCGAAAGTACTTGAGCGATCTTTTTAAAATTTTATGTGTAGGTTCCCCTTGGTTATTATCTGTGCAGGGCAACTTTTGAGACTGATCGGATCAACAACATGGCCGACAGGTAACCATCTTGGATTTTGATAGTGTAGGTTTCTTACCGCTATTTCTCCGGAAGAACTAGAGGGATCTTTCTTAAATTTTATCTGTAGGTTCCCCTTGGTCTCTCGTTGTGCATGTTATATTTTGAGACTGATCATAAAAACAAAATGGATTAAAAGAAGAACTAAACAGATCTTTCTGCAATGATCGATTCTATTTATTTCACATTAAGTACTGTACTAGTAAATATGTGAAATGACAAACTCACTTTGAAGGTTGGCTTTTATACACATCAGTATTAAGTTTAGATCAAAAGTTACCTCAAAGTGCATTTACTGTTAACATGACTCGATCAAACAGATTAGAGGAAAGAAGAGAAAAGATCGAACTGACAAAGAACTAATGAAGATGGTACAAAGGTGGGCGCCAAGATCCCTCTGGGATCTCTTGTTCGTGTCTATACTGGCAATTAGAACATGAAATATGGTTTAAACAAGTCCTGAACATCTTTTTCAAAATTTTGATAAGTTCCATTATTGAGAGATATAGTGGGTCCTCAAAAAGTTGGTGAGTCTCAGCTTACAGAAAATGAATGAATCCAGGACTCCAATATCTAAGTACCAGATTTCACTGAGTGAAATATCTTTTCATTTTAGGGGAGTCGTTGCTACCATCCATGGAAACAAAAGAGCATGGGAAACAAGGGAAGAAAAAGGTCATTCTGAAACCTAAATCCTTGAAGTACCTGCGAAGAAAGTCGCAGAATTACCATAAAGATGATGGCACTCAATGCTGCTACGGAACAGATGAGGAGGAATATGTCTACAGAACGGTCCATCGGTACTCCGCAACAACCTTTCCATTATTTTCTAATATGTCGGATGATGAGGTCATCAAAAAGTCGAAATCCAAACAGTTCCAAACAAAAGAAGTCAAATCTGCATCACAAGCTACTTCACAACAATCAAAACCTCAGGCTGGATGTAATCCCACACTTCTACCACAGAGCCAAGTCAAAAATGGCGAAAATCAAACACTTGACATATTTCCATTCCAATCTCTTCCTTACGAATTAAAGAATAAAGTGTTTACCTACCTGAATCATGTGGACAAGGGCCTGTCCATGAGGGTGTGCCGTGAGTGGAAAGAGCTACTTGCCAACCCAGTCATGTGGAGCACGGTGATGTTGGGTGACTTTCCAATGTCATGCATGCCCTCAGAAAACCACCAGCAGTCCTCAAACTGTTACCTGTGCTACAATGAACGGGTGCATAGGTTTGCTAGATATTTACAAATCCTCAACCCACCAATAAAACATCTAGATTTCAAGTTTGATATCGGTGAGCCTGATGACAACTACCTGGAGATACTTCAGAATTTCCTCACCAAGGGAAACCTTCAGTCTTTGGGCCATTTCAACTTCAACTGGAAAGAAACACCGACGAGGCCATTTTGGTCTGAATGGTCCAATTGTAATGATATTGTGTTCAGACAAAGATACAGGGGAAGACTCTTCGTGTACTTCTTTGATGACCTCACAAAAGTGGCAAAAAAAATAACTACACTTCTGCTTCCATTTGATTGGTCAGACAGAAGTGTCATGTGTCTCACACGTCTACAGAACTTGCACACTTTAGTGATAGAGAAATACTTTGTGTTTCAAGCTATGAAGCAAGACCTCCTTGACAAGTTGATGGACGGCCTACCAAACCTCGAACGACTGATGTTGGAAGTGTGGTCACCAAGTGGGCCTGGTCTCATACCCTACACCATCCGATCCAAGTCACTGGAGTTCTTGGACATTAGTCAGAGCCGAGGCTTCTATCTGCAGGCACTGGACATCCCAAAGATGAAGCGGTTCCGAGTTGCTAGGCGACCTTGGAATGGTCCTCTGGTGTGTGCTGACAGGATTGCTCTCCCTTGTCTCTATAACACATTGGTGGAGGGGGCCCCTGCCCTGTCCAAGCTCAATGATCACTACTTGGAAGAAAGCTGGAAAGACAATATCTACCCAACCTTGGAAGAAGTGCTAAAAGTTGTCTGTTCTTGTCGCAAGCATAAGATAGGATGGGCCATGTAATTCTGTTTATAGTGTAGAAATGTCATGATTGCAGCTGGATCAGGATATAACTGATGTTGTATACAAATCTTAACTATTAGGGCACAACACATTAGTAAAACCTTTCTAAACTATTTTCATAAGCTCTTTCATCTTTCTCATTTTGATTTTTGACTTGCAAAAAAAAGAGGAGTAAAATAAGAGTGGATGGCACATGTCTGATGTGTCTGGAAATATTTGAGTAATAAATAATATAGCCTTTGAAAAACAACATTGCTGATTGACAGCTTTAACCATGTGTTGTGTTGAAGGTTTAAGATTTGTTTACATCACCTAAAGTCCAACACAGATGAAACTTTTATTGTAGTAAAGAAAACCCTCATTATAAGTGTGTGAATTATGGTTAAGTCACATGTATGTCATGTAGCTTCCAGAGATGTCACATGTACACAATATGATGATCACCAGACATCGCACATGACCATCATGTGATCACCAGATATGTTACATGTATGTCATGTGATTACCAAAGCCACTCTCAAAGTCTGTAATCACCACTTATATCTTCAGTCGTAACATTTTCAATTAGGTCGGTTATTTTTATTTTGTCAAGAATGTTAACTACAAAAGGAAAGAAATTTGTAATTATGAGGAAAATAATCATGTGCCTTACGATTCGTAGAAAAAGGTGTAATATTATTTTAGTTAAGACATTTGAGGGAAGGAGGCCTGTACATGTATATATATACTTGTCTTATAAAAAGTCTGATCTTTTGGTAATTATGAAGAGTCCAATAGTATTTGAATTAGCTGCAGACAAAAAGTACTTTTGATACACAATGAACAGGTGAACTCCATCATTAGGACATATATATATATATGTACGTGTATAACACAATTTGAAATCGATATGGAGGTGTGTAGCAATAGCAATACCAGTAAGTATATATTGGTATGTAATTCGTATTTAAGTGACCAGTGTTACAAGTTAGCCTGAGTTTCTTCTAGTCTAACAGACTGACAATCTGACAGATAAATAGTAGATGCCTGGTGTGGTGGAGCACACCACTGTACAAAACATGGAATTCTCTGACACTGATTGTTCTCCCAAGGTTTTAAGTTGCTGACAAAAATCCACTTGACACCAAAACAGTAATTTAGTCACAAATCGCTTCCTCATTTAGTTCATACTGTTCTTGACTTTCCGGGTTTGACAGATTTATGCTAATGTCATGATCAAGTTACAGTGAATCAATTTAACAGAGTGCAGAGTTCAATGTTTTGGTGTAGTAGTGAGTGGCTCTGGCCCCACACCATCTATCTGTCAAAATGTCAAGGGCGTGGCTAGAAATTAATTTTAAAAATCGTTATTCAGCTGGGCTAATAGGTTCCAATTTTACTTGTCCATTTGCATATTTTTCTAACCCAATATTATTTTACATAAGTATATCAAATTTTATTAGTCAATCAGGCCAGCAGTTTGTAGAACCACAACCTGGTAATCCTTCAGTTGCAGATCAGATTTCACTAGTCTCCGACTTCGACTAGCAGGTTTTATAATTATCCTTCCTGTTGAGACCTGTTCATGGGTCTGGTATATATAGGGCTCGAGAGGAAATTCTAGCCTCCAATTTGCTGGTACACTCATCACTAATAATGAGAAGTTGATCAATTGAAAATATAGAAATGCAAATGGACATGGAATATTATTTTTTGGTCACTTTTATGTTCAGATGACAGCAGAGGTTATAAGGGATATATAGTGGATGTCTTCATGGGAGGTTGTTTTAAATGTTTAGTCATACAGTTATTCCGTCTTTGCGTATTGCAGAGTTATCTTCTCTTGGGAGCAGGTATTGATTGTTACGTCATTGGTTTGTGTGAGAAAATTACGTCGTTTTCTCAAAAATTGATGACGTTACTCTCACAAACAAGTGACGTAACAATCAATACCTGCTCCCAAGAGAAGATAACTCTGCAATACGCAAAGACGGAATAAACTAATTAAAGACCAATCAAGAATGATCTCAAATTGCATAATATTTCTGTTGTTACAGATTGGAAAACTTGGTTAGTCCATGTACATTCTTAAAAGGAATAGTTTTTGATTTTTTTGTTTTTGTTTTTCTTAAATTATAATCATGTGCGTATTTTTTTGTTAATCTTAAGTTTGACAATTCATTGTTCAGGTATTGTATTTTTTTTAGGAAATGGTATACGGTACGTACCAGAGATACCATGAATCTACTCTTAAAACCATTTAACGATTGCTTTGAAGTATTAAGGACAATTCTTAATGCAATAATGTAAAATACTGGTGGCATACGTGAAAACCAAATATTCACTGGCAGATCTCACCCGCCTGTTAAATGTGACATCTGTGTTTCACCAACGTTTTACCGAGACCTCTTATGTTTCTCTTGTTTATACTTTTTTTTTTTTTTTGTGATTGTGTTATTTTCATAAGATCTGAAAAGCATATTGTGATAGAAATATGTTGAGGAAGATTTTAAGTTTTGATTTGTAAAACCTATTTATCCTGTTGCTACGATGATAAGAACTAATTTTGGTTCTAGCAATTTCGATAAAAATCTAATTGAAAAGAGGTCGGACTAAATTGCCTGTCATGATCTCGCAAAGATATCACATTCTGGTGCCATTTGGTTGAATTTATTGACCCGAGGGATGAAAAGTGTAATGCAAAGGTGCAGACGATACACTGCAATAAGGTTTTTGTATTAATAGTATTCTGTTATGATATATAAAATGTATTGTGAACCAAAAAAAATACAGAAAAAGAAATGTATATATATTAATGTAATATAAATATTATTTTTCTCTAATGACTTCATCATAAGTAGTAAAAACATGGTAACAAATTCGAATATATCTACACATTAGGACAGTGTAACAAATTCGAATATATCTACACATTAGGACATTGTAACAAATTTGAATATATCTACACATTAGGACATTGTAACAAATTAGATTACATCTACACATTAGGACATTGTAACAAATTTGAATATATCTACACTTTAGGACATTGTAACAAATTTAAATATATCTACACATTAGGACATTGTAACAAATTAGATTACATCTACACATAAGGACATTGTAACAAATTCAAATATATCTACACATTAGGACATTGTAACAAATTAGATTACATCTACACATAAGGACATTGTAACAAATTCGATTTTATCTACACATTAGGACATTGTAACAAATTAGAATATATCTACACATTAGGACATTGTAACAAATTAAGATAGATCTACACATTAGGACATGTACATTGTAACAAATTAGATTATATCTACACACTAGGACATTGTAACAAATTAGATTACATCTACACATAAGGACATTGTAACAAATTAGAATATATCTACACATTAGGACATTGTAACAAATTAAGATAGATCTACACATTAGGACATTGTAACAAAGTAGAATATATCTACACATTAGGACATTGTAACAAATTTCAGCATTTTTGTAACTACATGTAATTAGCACATTGAAACTAATAATATTTACTAATTACTTTCTGCAGTGGTTTCTAAATTTCCAGGGAGGTTTTCCATGTGGGGAAAAATTGAGGAAAATGGTGAAAATACATAATTTTTAAAGAAAATTCTCAGGGTGGGGTGTGTGTGTGTGTCTTGTAGCCCCCCAAAAAACACTTGGTTCCGCCACTGTTCTGGTAAATAATTATAACATTTAATAATTAGAACCACACAGCTAATTACAACATTGTTATTGAGTTGTAGAACTGTTTGTAATTAGAACATTGTAGCTAAGTAGAACCTTTAATTAATAATAACCTAGTAAATTTTCGAATAGAATCTTGTAACTAATTAGCACCATGTAAATAATTAAAACAAGTTAAAGGTGGGTATACATTCTGTGATTGAAGCATGTAGTTGTAATTAGTATACAGATACATATATACAAGTTCATGTATATATACAAGGTATACATGTTTAAAAATGGCAGCCAGATTGCAGCATACATGTATGTATACCCACCATATAATGATAATTAGTTGTTTTAGTAGGTTTTTTTTCTTTTCAATTTTAAAGAGTTTTATGATAAATTTTAATTCATTACAATTTCCAGTTACGGTTGTATACAGTTAACTGTATTGTAATTTCAAATTTAAGATAATTTTTTTATCTAAATTTTAGCTTGCCTGTAAACCATGGCCCAACGCCTATCTGTCGTCAACATTTCCTTATAAAGACCTTTTCTAGTCCAGAATAGCGGGAGGGGTTTCCACTCAATTTTGGATGGAGCATCCATAGGCCAAGGGGATTCAATTTTCACACACAAGAAAAGGATCAAACCTCTAGTAGAGAGGTTGAGGGCCCAGTTAAGGGAAAAGGGATAAATCTTAGAAAAAATACTTATGTCACCAGATTGTTTTAACCAAAACAGGTTCAATTTCTCTCTCATTGATGCTAGCAATTATTAATATGCCATTGGACTTGATTTGGTCAAGTGGTATAAAAACAGGTGGGCAATGGCTCATGGGCCTTTTGTAGTCTGTGCCATAATATAATTGGTGGTTAATAATGTAAAACTTTATGATATCAGAATTATGTTTTTATGTTTTAAATGTTTTAGAGGTACATTCTTTTGTTAATTGACTGCATTTTGTATTTAGTTCAAATTGTATGTTGTTTCCAAATACATTTACCATCGTAGGGATGATCCATTATGCTAAGATAAATATACAATATATGAACATCTTTCTTCCCAGATTTTCTGAGTAATATAAGTTAACTGATGGATCAATCTAAATGCATCCTAGATTTAATATGGTAGTATAAAATTGATGCAAGCTTGTCAACAGTTGATTTTGGTATACTGTATTTGTATGGCATACATTTATAATACTGTACCAATTTTATCCCAAACTAATTTCTACTTTTGCAACCTCACGTTAGGAAATGATGATCATGGACTTTGTACATTTGAAAACTGAAGTAAAATACATCATATACACTTGTATGCAGCTGACATGGAGTAGGCAGATAAGTCATACTTTATCATGTAGCCCTATAAAGTATCCATGGACCAAAGCACATTGAGTAGGTGTTTCAGTGTGTATTATAATACTTTTTTTGTGCGATATCAATGCAAATTGTTACGGGTTATTTGATAAAGAATGGCTGATATCATCATCATCATCATTTTCATCATCATCATCGTCGTCGTGTTTAAAGATTTTTCAACGATGTAAGAAGTTTTTAAGAAACTTTCAGAATCTCGACCCTTTGTTAACTTTGAATATATGTCTGTTTTTCTTATGACTTCCACTATCAGATGTACCCGCATGAAAACAGGCTAGGTAAGTATTTCATAGAAGGTATACGCAAAGGTATATTGTACAATATATATAGGATCGTAAAAGAGTTTCCATTTATGTAAAAAGTCTTAAGAATTTTTTAATTTAGAGAGCCTCTGGCGAGTTAAAAAATGAAAAATTTGTGACGAGTTTCATAAATTTCATATCAAATGAATACGAGTGTAAGATACTTTTTATCACATAACCAAGATTTGTGGCATTTATTCGTGTAAAACGACAATTTTCATGCAATCTTGAATGAACAAAGCCGCCATTTTGTCTCCAGTGCGTAAGCCTGTGACGTCATGTACTTGTCCTAGGCATGACATCAAGATTGAAGCAATTGAAGCTTACAACCAATCACAGGGCTGAGAGGTCGTATTACATGGGTTAATACGCAAAAATAATATGACATTGGTATATTCACTGGATAACACAGTATATTATGTGATATATGTTTAGATGGGGTTCTCTAACCATGGATATTTTTTTCATATTTTGACTCTTCAAACTCTAGCAGTGTGGACATTTTGGGATTGAATTGGTAACTGCTGCATTATGTAGTTGATCAATTAACGTAGCAGTATGTTTGCATATATTTTTGCTCTAATATGTTGTAAATGTGAAACAGTAAACATTTCTATGTTAACAGTATGTGACGCAAGATATGTATACTTTTCCTCTACGATATTAAAGAGAGGACATTGAATGGTCGTCTCATCAACAACATTTGTAGTATGCGTAGTACATTGTCTCTGTCATCTGTGTATTAAAGAACGACGAGAGACATGATTGGTGCACAAATAATCAAACCCATTACAGTATCGATATCCTAAAATTATAACTTGTTATCTAATAATCAAATGTCTCATGCAAATTATTTTCATCAGGTTGTCTGGCAATTTGTATGGTTCAGTGTTGTTTGGGATTGAAAAACTGTTCACAAAATATTACAGACATACTTTATACAGATATGTTAAATGAGTGTACTTAATTAAGAAACTTAATGACTTTGTCTGCTGAAAGAAGGCATTTCTTTTACCATGAAAAGATTTTGATTGTGGTGGTTAAGTATGTAAATTATTTTTTCAAACCAAACATTCGGGTGGGTTCCTGCAGATTTTGACAAAAATCTTCTAATAATTACCATTCATATGTTTTCATGTACAATATGTACTGTAATATTGATAAAGTTTATAACTTGAAGAACTAGAATTGTGGGACCTAATTACAGTCCTAGCACAGGTTCGTGGTAATCTAAGTTATTCTTTATGCATGAAGTATCGTATATTTTTTAAATATGGCTGAAACCAGTAAGACAGGTAGCTATAGGAAATTATCATTGGCCTTTATATTAATGCCAAACATTTTGATGGAAAATCTGCAGAAACCCATCCAAATCTGAGATGTTTATGTGGTTTGTTAAACCCACTTAAGTGAAACTTAAATCATTAAATAACGTATATATATTTATATC